AGACTGGAATTAAATGCTCAGTGTTATTACCTCTGTGTAGGGTTTTGGTTTTCTACCATTTCCGAATTTTAATTATGCATTTCTTTTGCAATCAGGCAAGAAGAATAAGTGAAACTTTAAAATCTTCCGCCTAAAACCTAGAACCTGTACCAGACTGTGAAGGATCTTGGAGTAGAGATACCAAAAGCAACGTAAGTCAATTTGAGTTATTCGTGACTAACCTTTACTCAGTAACATAAGGACGAAGTGCAGAAGATGTGTCCTTCTACATGAAACGGTCTCCCCTTTGAAGTATCCTGGAGCCAGTCACCCGGGCTCATGCTTGGAATCCTAGCTACTCAGCCGGAGGCTGAGATCCGAGGGTTATGGTTCAAAGCCAGCCCAGGTAGGAAAGTCAGTGAGACTATTTATTTAGTGAAAATACCTTACAGAAGGGTTACAATTACATGGGCAAGGTAATAAGTACATTTCTTACCAAGCATTGTTGCCTCCTCCTTTGTTTCCCCTTCCCATCCCTTCCCATCTCCCCCCCAACACTCCTCCCTCCCAAAGTTGTAAAGTTCTTTTTTCCTGCATAATGACTTGTACATCTCTTCGTTGCAATGGGTAGTGAGACGTCTCTCTCCAATTAACCACCAAAAAAAGAGCTCAAGTGGCTCAAGTGGTAGAGCACCAGCCTTGAGTGGAAAAGCTCAGGGATAGTGCCCTGATCTTGAGTTCAAGACCCAGGATCCACATCCCCTCCAACTCCCCCAAATGTCTCTGGAGGCTGCATTAAATTAAAGGAATCTCAAAGAAAGAAATTTTCAGTTCTAATAACCCTTAATGGAGAAGGTTAAAATGGACAGTGGGCTGAGCACTGAGAGGACATAAAACTTCCCCATAAAAACCATAATACAGATGCAACTGATAGGAGCCGAAGTCTCATTTCCGAGGTTGGCCAAGTGTGGAGGTAGGTGCTGTACTGAGTCCTTCAGGACTATCTCTGGGAAGACAGGACTGATTCCCCCAGGAGTTGTCCTTGTCCCTCAGACTCTTAGGCAGCGGGCCTTCTTCAGAAGAGTACCTGTGGCTGGGCATGGTAGTGAACACCTGTAATTCCAGCTACTAGAGAGATGGAGACAGGAGGATCTCCCATGCAAAACCAGCTTGGACAAAGGTGGACCCTATCTCCGAAGCAAAATAAAAAATAAAGGGGGCTAGTGGCATGGCTCAAGTGGCAGAATGTTTTACCTAGCAAGAGATGCCACATAGACTACCTCCTAGCTAGCCTCCCCTCTGCCCATTCCATTTCCTTTCTTCCCATAGCTGTCCATCCCAACACACGTGTGGCTGCAGAGGTCATCCCTGGCTGGCTGTTCACTTTCCAGCCAGAACATGACACAAAACACAGGAGCACAAATTGTGAGTGGGCATTGGATCCCTGGGCCATCCTTACTGCACAGAGCATGGAGTATCAGAGTCAGCAGAGCTGTGCGATCTTCCCCATACAGATTTCAGAAGTGCGTCCAAGAACAAAGAGGGCACGTTTGGAACACCAGCCGGGGAACATGCCTCAATCTGGGTGGGGCTTCCAGAAACCCACAGGAGGCAGCCTGGCAGCTGCTTGGCCCACCATTTGGTCTAATCCCTTGAGCTGTCCTGTCCCTGGTACCATAGTTGTGTTGTGTTAATTAAATCATTCTCATTAATTCATCCACAGTGTAAATTAGGAAGGAATGAAGATAGATTAGGTTTGAAGACAGCTAATACATTTAACCCCATGCTGCTTATTTTGCAGCCTAACAAAATAACATTGTTAAGAGAGATAACAAGGCCAAAGCCTTGGGCACAGCTTAATAGCATTAAAAAAAATGAGACCTTGGTTTGGTGTCACAAGGTAGAGGCTAAGACAGTTTCCCAGGGGTATTTCCTGAGTGGTTGGTGACTCAAGTTATCTGCTATGTCTATTGTTGCTCAGTTTAGTCACAGCCCAGGTGAAAGGCTTCTTCCTGGAGAGATATGCGATTTACCTTTTCTTTCTGAAGGGAGGGAGGGAGGGAAGGGGGGGGCATGAGAACTACCTTTAGGACAGCTTAGAGGTGTTGCAGAAACCATGAGGTTTGAGTTGTCAGGGTGAGAAATACATTAACTTGCAAATCACTTTCAGCTGGGAGATAAACAGCCAGAAACCTTTTCATACATGGGTTCAGACAAACCAATGGAGAGTGCTGTAGATCATCAGCACTCCATGGACTTTCCAAAAAATATGAAGTTCAGCCCCTCAAGTCTTGTCATCAGGAAAATGGTTTCCTGTTTCTATAACCTGTATCAACGAATTCTTTACCCTTCTGTTGCTTATCTCCTGGTTGCAGAGTACATTTCAAGATTTTTCCAGGCTGGAATAAAAAGTGGCCACATTAAGTAGAAAAGATATAGAAAAAAAGTAGTCATACATAGGGGTGGTCACAATAACGGGAGATTTCATTCCTCCTGCCTGTCTGCTTAGCAAAGCCTTTTTTTTTTTTTTTAGGAGAAGCAAAGGTTACTGTTCCTTTGGTGGACACTGAAGTTTCCAGAAAATAGAGGCAACAGAGACCAATTACCTGTGTAGTGGCTTCTTATGGCAAAAATAACCAGCTCATCTGGCCATTTTTAGGCAGTAGCACCTAGCAAAGTTCTAGGTGGATTTGGTTAAGTAACCAGAGGAAGAAAGAACAGTAATCGCTTGAACCATTTCCCCTACTGGAAGACATCCACATTTGGTCTTCCAAACTAGCCTGCTTGTGTCTGACCCAAACCCAGACATACATGGCATCCAGGAGGTGTCACTGGCCCCAGGAACATGTTTTTTAGAAGGCTTATGTGCAATAGCTGCACGTTACCACCTGGGGTCTTCTAGCACCTAACCCTGGTGTCTTGCCGGTTCCCATCCTTGGGCTTTACCATGGGTTTATCCTTGGGGACTTGGGGACTGGGTGGTTGTGGCTTTAGAGTTCCTCTCTTGACCCCCAGGGCCTGGGCACCTGGGATCCTTCCTAGAACGGATCCAGCCTTTCTGGCTTTGTGCAGCAGTCTCCAGCCAAGACTGCACTGAACATGGAAATAGGAAACAGATTGAGGCTCTTAGTGAGCCGGAGGAGTTAATGCTAACAAAGGACTTCAGAGGGCACTGTCTTTCTTTGTTTGCAAGGAGGAAATTTCTCCGTGTGAACAGCAGAGATGAAGGAGGGTGGAGAACTAGAATGAAGAACCCACGGCGTCTCCTTTTAAACCATCCAAGATCTCAAGAAGCGCCACACAGAGCCTCTCCACACAGTTCAGATCATTTCTGCCCCCAGTATTTTAAGGAAAACTAGCGGATGAAGCATAGGGGTGTGCAGTTTAAACCAAGTTATACAGCCGGTCACACAATTTACAGGGCTGACCCTCCTCCAAGAGGTGCCTGACCCTAAGCCGGCCAATACCTGTCTCCCAGGTAGTCTTACCTATAACACCAGGCTGAACCAATCATCTATACTCTTCACTCCTAAACTACTCCAAGTGCCAAATCGGCACCAGACAGGCGGTTCAGCTCTCAGTGGAAGGGCAAGCCCTTAGCCCAAAGGTTTTTTTTTTTTTTTTTTAAAAAAAAGGGTAGAGATCACCACGTGAAATTGCTTTTCCGAATGGCCTTTTCCTTTCTGCCCGGCACGACGGACACTAACCGTGTGTGTGTCCTGGGCTTTTCTTCATTGATCTATCAGCACCACCGAGCCCTAAAGGCAGTGCAGGGTCGGGTGACCGTCGCTGGGGAGGGAGTGGGGGGGGGCCCGCGGCGTGACCGCTCCGTTCCGGAGTTCGCTTTGAATCCAGCGGCCGCCGGGATGGATTGCGAAGCACGTGGCGCGCGCCCAAGGCAGGACAGCGCCCGCGTGGCCGCCGTTCCAGCCCCGCGTGGGGCAGAGTCCGGCCGCAGGCGCCGCCCTCGCCGGAGGTGGGGAGGGAAGACACGGACCACCGCCCGGGGACCCGAGTCTGTCTGCACCCAGCCCCGGAGCGAGACACCCACGGTCCGGACCAGCCCGATCGGCGGTGTCCCCCGCCGCGTCCCACCCCGCGCGCCCCCAGCGAGGCCGTGGCCCCCTCAGGCGGGCCATCAGGGGCTGTGACTCCACGGGGCGCAAAGCCAAGGGCTGGGCTTCCCTGAGTGCGGGGTGTGTGTGTGTGTGCAGGGTGCCCTAGCACCTCGGCTTCCCTGAACTAGGCTGGTCCAGAGAGGCGCAGACACTCCAACCTCGGGAAACTTCTTTCCCTCGCTGATCTCCAGGGCTGCAGCTGCTGGGGGCCGAGGTCGGGCGCCCGCTTTGTCTCCCGGCAACACCCCCACCCGCCCCGTTTCCTCTCCGCATTCACTCCCCCGACACACTCTCCCCGGCTCCTCTCCCCCTCCTCCCCTCCTTCCTCCCAGCCCCGGGGAAGGCGCGTCCCCTCCCCCTCCCCAGGGTCAGTCTCGCCCCCTCTCCTCCCGCTCCTCCTCTCCTTTCCCCTCCCAACCCCCCCACCCCGTGTCAGTCTTCGCCTGCGCGCCCCCTCTCTCCCGCGCCCCTCCCCTCCCGGACGCGCCCCCCCCCTCCCTCCCCTCCGGACGCGCCCCTCCCCTCCCCGGCGCGCCGCTTATAGCCGGGCGCAGGGCGGCGGGGCGCAGTCTGCTTGGGCTGCTAGGCAGGCGGCGGCGTGGCGGTGGCGCTGCGGAGACCGGTGCCGACGCCAGGCGGCCGCCCGAGCTCGCGGCGCTTCCCAGCTCCCTCCCCCGCCGCCACTGCCGCCTTCCTCCGCGGCGGCGCGGCCGCGGGTCACTCTCCCCTCCCGAGGTGCGCTCCGGGAGTCGCTGCGCGGGTCCAGGGCACCCGGGTGCCGGGCGTGGAGTCCCTCGGCAGCCGGCCCGGCTAGCCAGTGTCCCGGGGCAGCCCCCCACCTCTCCGGCTGGGCGCCCCGTGCGCGCTCCTTTTCGCCGGCGTTGTCGCCGCCGCTTGCCTGGATCGAGAAGCCCTGATCCCGTCGCCAGCCTGCCGGTGACCCAGCCTTGAGCCCAGCTGACCGTGCGCGCCCAGGCCAGTCGCCACTGCGGTAAGTTTCCCCCTCTGTCCGGGACCTGTTGCGGGCGCCGCGGGTTTGGGGGGACCGATCGCGTTGTTGGTGTGTGCTGAGCCAGTCCACCCCGCAGCCCAGAGTCCCGACTTAGGTGGCCAGGGGGTAGAATTGGGGGCCAAAGCGGAGAAACTGTTCCTGCCAGCCGCCGGAATGGCGAACAGTTTCCCCGCTACCGTGTAACGCCCGGGCAAGCCCGGGGCAGCCGGGAGCTGCCATCAGCCCTCTTCACTCCCCCCGCAGCCCGGCTCCCCGCAGCCTCCAGGGCCCCGAGAGCGGGATCTTTGGCCCACATTTAGCCCACCCGGGATCGGGGACAGATGGGACCACGCGCAGACACCGCCCCCTCCCTCCCCCAACGCAGGCACCTAACTGCGGCCAACTGTCTGGGAAATGAATGAAAAATGGCTTCTCTAAAACTAGTTTTTCTCCCATGCAAGCTTTTGCCTTTGGTTCAGCATTCATTTCAAAGCATTAGGGATTGATGGGCGGGGAGGAGATGAAACGCTCAACTTGTTCCACGTGCAGTTTGGTGTCGCCCTCGCCGGCTTGGGCAGCGCGTTGGATAGCGTGGCACTTGTTTTACAGAGGACCAAAAGGTGGCTCCCCCCCCAACAAAATTTTTTTTAAGAGCCACTATTGTCAACAAGATCCTTGTTCTTTTCTTCCGTTGTTATCAATAATATAAATGCAGACGAACATCTGCCCAGCTGCTCCCTTGATAGGCTTGAGATGCGTCTTAAATTGAGCCTGGAGAAGCTTGAGGTGTGCCTGGGGGAGGGGTCGTGAGTACACTGAAGTTGCTGTAACTAGAACGAAACCTTTTTGATGTTCTCAATGATAGCAGCCCTTCTCTGCATCTTCTTTGTAGATACAGGTTAAATATATATGTGTGCATTTTTCTTGGCCGTTTCCTCGGCATGTGAATATTATGTCTCTGGGGGCTAAAAAAAATGCTGGGAAGAATGGTTCATTTCATGCTGAAGGTGTTTTGAGTGACTGTATAAACGCACTGCAGTGATGCTTACATGAATTTGAAACCAGAAAGCATGTTGTTTCCCAGGGATCTTTAAGGGTGTCTTGCATTTCAGCCGTGCATTACTGCAAGAATGTTAGATTTTGTTGACAGAGACACACATGCTCTTTTGGTGGGGTGATATCCAAGATGATAGGATAGGCTTTAAATAACATCAGCCTAAACACAGGATGGAAGAGATGCACACTCCTTAATCTTAAGGTCTTCTAGACAAACTGTTTTAAGTGTACAGCTGGTTGTGAATGTTGCTTTCCACGACCCTGAATCTCTGGTTGTGGGACACATGCCTGGCTGGGTCCAGTGGGATTCTGGCTGAGCCCACAGGCACTTAGATGTTGTGTGCCTGGTGGCAGGTAGCCCAGGTCTCAGTCAGAGCAACCTCTGACAAGAGGTATTCAGACAAATCCTGAGGTTTAGACTTACCATCCCATCCTCCACATAACACTTCCGATTGAATGCACTCATTCAAATGGCATCCGAGCACCAAGGATGCTAAGGCAGGTCTGAACACATCAGGAACCAGAGGCTCCTATGGGGTATTCTTTAGAGCTTTAGGCATTGATGAAGATGGACAGAAGGTAGAGGCTAAGCCTGAGGTGGGAGTGAGGCTGGACCCTTCACCATTTTCATATCCCAAGTCACTGGGGATTTCTGGGTGCTTTATTTATCAAATCTTTTCAACACTGGAACTCTAGGTCTTAGGTGATTACTTTGTTGCTCTGTAAGCCATGTTTACTTCTAACAAAAGTAACATTCCAAAAATCAGAAGGAAAACAGGTTACATCACCTAACACCTAATGATAGGCAGTCTGAGTGTCTAATATTTAGATACTTGCCTTTGTTCTTTATGCCATCTTGGGCGGCTGGTCAGGAAAGTTGTAGTTGACTGTTCTCACCCCTGAGTCTCAATCAATCATTTGTATTTTGTAACCATCCTTGGAATATAATTTTAAAATAAATCACTGAAATGGTTGGAGGAAAAAACAGTTTCAGCTGCAGTTTAAGGACTAGCTGTTCTATGTTAGGAATAGATACTGTAACCAACCAGACCACTCTCCTTCTGGAGATAAACAACTTCCTCAGGAATCTCCAGACCGGCAGCTTCTTAAGTGCTTTCTTCTTTTGAAGTCAAAGGGAGGAGGGGTTTCGTTTTTGAACCATTTCCCCTACCTTCATCCTACAGTTTTCTTATGGCTAAAGGCCAAAAGACACCATTAGATTTTGATGTCATTTAAATTTAGATGCCTAGAAAAAAAGGTTTTTTTAATCAGATAAATTCTATGGTGTCCCACACAATGACTGGCAATATTCACAAGCATGTGTGTGCATGCACACACATACACATACGACACAGCTCTGTATTTTAATTTAAATAAAGAAGTGTTTGCATTTTGATATCCCACTATACACATACCAATATTGTTTGCAGGCACACAAGGACAGCCTGGGTAGTGCACTATTTGATCCAAAAGACAGGGAGGGGTATGTGTGGATGCATCTTCCTTTGTTCTTTGCGCTGTTTTCCCAAGAATTGGTATAGAGCAGAAAGAACAGAAAAATAGTGTAAGTACACCACTCAAATATTCTTCCTTTTATATGCTAAATCCTCATTTTGGAAGCTGTCCAGAGCCAGAAAGATGTGTGGTGATTGTGACCAGAATCCATTCTGTGCTTTCACTGAAGCTTGTTGATCAATAGATGAGGACGTTAAATCGGGGTGCCTTCAGAATTCTGTCTTGATAGAATTGTCTGGTTAGAAATGGTCTGTTAACATGTAATGGGCTGACCATTGCAGAAACCGGGCATTTGCTATAGATGCAGTGTTTAGATCTTACCAAAGGAATTCTTAATGGAATTAATTAGTAGGTGTTTGTTTTACACATGGCTTTATGTTGCATAGGGCATTAAAACTGGTACCTGTCCTGGCATTATGAGAACAAGAGGCTAGGCATTTTAAGTGGCCTATAGTGAATCAGCTGGACTGGACGGGCTCAGGTAGCTGGTAGAATGAGACTTGCTGTCTTTGGCTTTTGCTGACTTACATTCTCAGAGACGTCAATATCCTGAAAGTTGGAGATCGGGTTTTCCAAGATGAACCTGCTTTTTAAACAGTGATTTATTATTATTATTATTAACAAGTGTATAGTTCACTGAACTCAAGCAGTATTATTATAAGGAATATATTTCCTTCCAGGTAGGCTGGTCATTTTGAATTGAGAATATCTTCTTCAAAACAGTAGATAGTGGAGGTAACAACGGAATATTCTATTTTCTTTTTGGAAAATGATGGTTGCCTTTTGTTCTACAGCTAGCTGGGGTCCCTTGGGAGCCTCCTGTTCATGGGTTTGTTTTGCTCTGTTTTAGGAGGGAAAACAAAATGTCAGTCAGCGTGCATGAGAACCGCAAGTCCAGGGCCAGCAGCGGCTCCATTAACATCTATCTGTTTCATAAGTCTTCCTACGCCGACAGTGTCCTCACTCACTTGAACCTTTTACGCCAGCAGCGGCTCTTCACTGATGTCCTTCTCCATGCCGGAAATAGGACCTTCCCTTGCCACCGAGCAGTGCTGGCTGCATGCAGCCGCTACTTTGAGGCCATGTTCAGTGGCGGTCTGAAGGAGAGCCAGGATAGTGAAGTTAACTTTGACAATTCCATCCATCCAGAGGTCCTAGAGCTGCTCCTTGATTATGCATACTCCTCCCGAGTCATCATCAATGAAGAAAACGCAGAGTCGCTCCTGGAAGCTGGTGACATGTTGGAGTTTCAAGACATCCGAGATGCATGTGCAGAATTCCTGGAAAAGAACCTACATCCCACCAACTGTCTGGGCATGCTGCTGCTGTCAGATGCACACCAGTGCACCAAACTGTACGAACTGTCCTGGAGAATGTGTCTCAGCAACTTCCAAACCATCCGGAAGAATGAAGATTTCCTCCAGCTGCCCCAAGACATGGTCGTGCAGCTCCTATCCAGTGAAGAGCTGGAGACGGAAGATGAAAGGTTGGTGTACGAGTCTGCAATTAACTGGATCAGTTACGACCTGAAGAAGCGCTACTGCTACCTCCCAGAACTGTTGCAGACCGTGAGGCTGGCACTGCTGCCAGCCATCTATCTCATGGAGAACGTGGCCATGGAGGAGCTCATCACCAAGCAGAGAAAGAGTAAGGAGATCGTGGAAGAGGCCATCCGATGCAAACTGAAAATCCTGCAGAACGACGGCGTCGTAACCAGCCTCTGTGCTCGGCCTCGGAAAACTGGCCATGCCCTCTTCCTCCTGGGAGGACAGACTTTCATGTGTGACAAGCTGTATCTGGTAGACCAGAAGGCCAAAGAAATCATTCCTAAGGCCGACATTCCCAGTCCAAGAAAAGAGTTCAGTGCGTGTGCAATTGGCTGCAAGGTGTACATAACTGGAGGGCGGGGGTCTGAAAACGGAGTCTCAAAAGATGTCTGGGTCTATGATACCCTGCATGAAGAGTGGTCCAAGGCCGCCCCCATGCTAGTGGCCAGGTTTGGCCACGGCTCTGCTGAACTGAAGCACTGCTTGTATGTGGTTGGAGGCCACACGGCCGCCACTGGCTGCCTCCCAGCCTCCCCCTCTGTCTCTCTAAAGCAAGTAGAACATTACGACCCCACGACCAACAAATGGACCATGGTCGCCCCGCTCCGAGAAGGGGTGAGCAATGCCGCGGTCGTGAGTGCCAAACTCAAGTTGTTTGCTTTCGGAGGCACCAGCGTCAGCCATGACAAGCTCCCTAAGGTTCAGTGTTACGATCAGTGTGAAAACAGGTGGACGGTGCCGGCCACCTGTCCCCAGCCCTGGCGTTACACAGCAGCAGCTGTGCTAGGGAACCAGATTTTTATCATGGGAGGAGACACAGAGTTCTCCGCTTGCTCTGCTTATAAGTTTAATAGTGAGACTTACCAATGGACCAAGGTGGGAGATGTGACGGCAAAGCGCATGAGCTGCCATGCTGTGGCCTCCGGAAACAAACTCTACGTGGTTGGAGGATACTTCGGCATTCAGCGGTGCAAGACGTTGGACTGTTACGACCCAACCTTAGATGTGTGGAACAGCATCACCACAGTCCCATACTCGCTGATTCCTACTGCGTTTGTCAGCACCTGGAAGCATCTGCCCTCTTAGATGGAATGCATCCTAAAGCATGTAAGCATGAGGTAAGAAAGTTTAGCTGGACAAGTAAGTATGCATTTGACTAGGCAGTTGCCTCATTCAGAATGTGGAAGAAGACACAATCCATGTTATAGAACCTGTACAGGAAGACTACAGAAGCTCTAAAAGATTTTATACCCCCAGAACTTAACCACTTGAGCTGACCACAGTAACACCCTCCCCATGATCTAAGTCAGTGGTTCCTAGCCATCCTTCTGATTGTCTAAATGTCTGTCTCAAAAAGCTTTTTAAAAACTGCCCTTCCGGGCTAGGATGGTGGTTCAGTGGTAGAGCGCTTGCCTTGCATGCATGAGGCCCTGGGTTCGATTCCTCAGCACCACATAAGCAGGGGGAAAAAAGCCAGAAGTGGTGCTGTGGCTCAAGTGGTAGAGCGCTAGCCTTGAGCTGAAGAGCTGAGGGACAGAGTTCAGGTCCACGATTGGACCAAAAAACAAAACAAAAACAAAAACTGCCCTTCCCAGAGACTGTTCCATTTGATTTGGGGTGGGGCCCAAGCATCATTATTTATTTTTGGAAAGTTTTCCAGTTATATTCCCATACAAACAAGTTGAGAATCACTGACCTCTTAATGTTAGCAAGTGTTTATTGAGGGTCCACTCTGTGCCTGGAGCTCAGCTATGTGCTTCTCCTGGACCATCCCATTTGAGTTCTTATAACAACCTGGTGGGATATTATTACTCGCCTCTCCTGTGTCTTAGGATTTTGCAATGAAATAAGGAAATCAAGACCAGCAGTGTGGTCCCAAAGCAAGGCATTTGAGTATCCCTGCCACCTAACAAAGTGAACTTCATATTGGTATCCCTTCCCATCCCCTCCCATAGGGCTGATGCTCAGTTTCACTTTCTAAAACCCAGTGTACTGAAAATTGCATTGCTCAAGTTTGTTTTCATTCTCTCCAAAGTTAATTACTAGTTTATTTAAAATTTCCCCCTCAAAATATAGCCCCCCCCCTCAAGGGCATTTGTAAACTTTGAAGGAGGTGGGGGTCAGTCTGGGAGTCTAGATCTGTCATTCTAAAAGGTTACACCTACATTACAAGAGCCCTTAGGCCACCCCAAAGACATCCTTTCAGAGTTAATCAGTCAGGCTGACCCTATTGTTAGGACTAACAAAAGTTGTGTTCTGTGTCGTATATCTGAGTGCATAATGGTTGTCTTGTGTACATAAGACTATATTATACTCTAGGCTCCAATAATTCATAGGGCTATCTGCTGAGTGTTCACACAGCTCGTTGTTGCTTTGCTGCTGTTCAGTGGTCTTGAGATTGTCCCTAGGAATTGCCCTAAGCCTGTGTCTGTAGCACAGAGTTTGTTTTGTTTTGGTAAGAGAAGAAAATAACTGTTGGAGGAACTACAATGAAAACAAACTCATTACTTGGAAACTTTTGGCTCTGTTTTGCCTGGGATGTTTCACACCTTTGAAGGGCACTTCAAAAGGGAAAGGGGAAAATCTAGGCTTAGTTATAGGCTAAACAAAGAGACAGAGTTCATTTTATTTGTCTTTTCCCCATCTCTGAGAGTTCCTTTACAAACATCATTAAAATTTATCTCCCTTTTGTAGGTCATTAGGTTTTTTGTTTTTTTCCCACCAAATCTTCAATTATCTCCTATAGCCTTTTCCAGCTAGCAGTCTTTACTTAGCAATGCAATGTTTCCTTGGAATGAAGCTCCTCCAAAAGAGCAGGGTCGGTCAGAAACCTCTGAGGAGCCACTGGGCTGACAGCATCCCACACCAAACTGGTTTTTGCAGCCTTGCTGGCATCTCAGTAATCCTGAATAAACAAATGCTCTGAACGTGGTTATTTCATTTGAGATATGAACGCATGACTCAACTCTCAGGCAGGTTTAAAGAATCTCCTAGGCAAAAGCACCAATTAGCAGCACACTAAATTAGGTATTAGTCCAGAACTGACTATATTTGCACAGAAGAGCTGTAAAAAGAATTGCTGGTGATGGTGGCAGAACATCAGAAATAGTCATTGGTAAACTGGCTGGCCCTTGGAGCAAGATACTAAAATTGACAGTAGGGAGAAGAAAGAAAACCGCAAGTGTGTTCTAGTCCTAGTTTTAAGTTCTAGATCTTTCTGGACTTCAGGCTTCTTCTCTGCCAATGAGTTGTTTATTCTATAATACCCACGGAGCTCTCTTCCATGTCAGACGTGGGTGTGTTGTTAAATGAGGACTGGGGTAAAAATATCTAGTCCAAAGCCTGGCATATGTTAAGTGCTCGATACTCAGTTTTCTCTCTTAGATCTTGCTATGAGTACTAGTAGTGGAGTTAGCTTTGTGTATGGTGGGAAAATAAGGTTTCTTTGATCATTATCTGTCATCTTTATATTTCAGTTTTTGGTTTCTCCTGTTTCAGCCCAGAACATGTTGGCAAACACTTGAATTCACCCCTATTCTGTGTATTTGAACCTAATCACACACTTCCGGTTCCTGGGAAACAGAGCAGATGAAGTGCTGGGTTATATTCTCTTCACCCTGGGTGCCATCAGTGAGAGGCAGCACATAAAATCTGGATTTGATAGGACCAGGTCCACTGCTTTTGAGTAGCGATTTTAAGTGTCTGATCAAAGCCAGTCTTTCTGTTTCCGACAGGGAGAATATTGACTTAAATTTCTCACAACATACAAGACAGTGCTGAAACAGTAAAGCTGGATAGAGAAATGCTCAGTTGACATCGGCTGTAAACTGCAGAAGCCTTCATCCTTCTGCTCCCCAAAAGTAAGGCCCTAAGTGCATCAGTCCAGGGTCAATAAAAACCTTCCCTGTCTGAAAGCTCATCCACTGAGGAGATTTTAACTGTCCCCCGCTGCTCTATCAGTGGGTGGGAGGGACAAGAAGGAAATTACTTTGATTATCTTCTGTTTTCATGGTACCCCATGGCCTCAACCCGACAGTACTTGGACTGTGGAAATAGTTTGCTTTGTTTCTGCTCTCTCTCCTTCTCTCTCCTCTTTCTCTGTATGAGCTTTTCTTTTTTCTTAAAAAAATCCCCACTTTCTGTGAAAGTGTGCAATGCCTTGAAATTTCCTATTATTACAAGATACATTCTTTTAGCCTAATGTGGATATACAGGTTAGGAGGAGGTGGGGTTGGGGGATGACACTGTAGTCTAAGGAATGCCTTTAAGGCTTGAATCACTGTGAGGAAACAGCCAAAAGAAACAACTAGGAAATGAATCAGACTTCCAAACACACAAAAGCAAAGGAGAAGAATTCAGTGCAATTCATGTGTGGCCCCTCTAGAATTCCCTGTGTCTGTACTTCAAGTTGGAGCAGTAGGGAAGGAGATTTCTGAGTAGGGCTATACGTGTGCTTGCTGAACAGATAGGAAGCATATTATAAAAGCCCTGTATGAAATCAGGAATAAGGGGCAGGCTGGGTAGGATTTGTGGTTATTAGAGTCATAGTTCATATTCGCACTTGATGCTGGTGGATTCTTTCTGGCACATACCATGGTATCAGCTATGATTACTTCTCTGAGAAGAGACTGAAGACTTGGGGTCAACTCTGTCCTTGGGCTGTGGAGACCTCCTGTGTTCTCATGTGAAAGGAGGCAACATGGATTCTTGACATAATAAATACTGGAGATGCATTTAAAGAAGAGAATTAACACGTCTACCTTCTATATGGTGAATGAATTTAATTTGGAATCCTTTATGGTAAATGGACCTAGGAGGGTTTACACAGGAATCTCTTCTTGACCCCACCCCCGCCCCCTCAGCGATTGCTCGACAGTGACTGTTTAACCAGAAGCTGTACGCATGTTGGAAACAAGACAGCAGCTCATAATAGCATCTAAGCACATAGGTTTGAATTTGAACATAAGTATGGTTAGGAAAGAAGTGAAAGTCACTCTTGTTGGCCTGCTGTGTACATGATTCATCCATGCCCATGTGTACAAGTTTAAGGCAGGTACTTAAGGATCTTTGCACTGTTTCTAATGAATATACAATTAAGACCTTTAGAAGCAATAGTTCCCAGCTTTGTCTTTATTTGTATTTGTATTTTTTAATTTTGTGACTACTAACAAGGAACTTAAAACCATGGCATCACCCAAATCCTTCATGCTGTTTTGTTTTGTGTTTTCTTTCCCTTCTATTTTAGCTCACTCTACCTGGTGAGATAATGTGAGATTTCTACTTTGGAGAGACCAAGTTTAATGAAGAGAAAGAAAAAAAAAAACAGGAACAAAGGAGAAGTTGCTACAAGATTCAAGTACCATTCTCTGCACCTTGTCAATGCTCTTAACTGGACATGAAGGAAGGGGGTGGGGGTGGGATTTTTCAGTGCAAGTTAGCACATGGTTTAAATATGAATGAATGAACCTGTGATCTAGTCCTTGTCTTGTAATTGTGGATTAATGTCAGCATTAATCAGCCCTTCAAAGGGAGAGAAAAGCTGGGCCTTTTCCCTGCTGCACCACATTCAGCATTTGATTTCCATGGGCTCCGCCATTTATGTGTAAAATTTGAAATGGTTGTCACCTCTCTGGGGAGAGCATGAAGCCTCCGAGACACCAGCTGCTGTTGGAGCTTCAGCGCCGAAGCATGGGTCAGGAGAGAAGCTGACTGGACTGGCTGGAGACAAGGACCACTGGACTCTCTAATCGCAAACCCAAAGGGGTTGTTCCCCCTCCCCGCTCCCCCCACAAACACTTGAACAATGGGGACATTGTTGATTGCCTGTTTGGGAGATGTTCTTTTCTTCTATTTATAAGTGACTTTAAATTTTCCCTTGGCTGTTAAGAAGTTTGTTCTAGATTTAGCTATTTATTGTTGGATGCCTGCATGCTGAAACAGTGCTTACCGTTGTCTTCACTTGTATGGACGTGTGTGAATGGTTGTATGTTTTGCACATTTTGTGGTTGTTGAGGTGGGCTTTGCTGCACAAACATGAAAATGTTGGGGTTAGAATTTGGAGTATTACTGGAGGGTGGGTGGGCGGGGGGTGGGATTTTGGGAATGCAAAATAGGAAAAGATGACAAGACAAGAAAGTTAAAAATTGCATCCCAAAGGCAGAGAAAACAGTGGAGGTCACTTTTCATGGACTCTCCACCTTTTAATGGGGTTTCAAGGGATAAGGTCATGCTGATGGCTGATGTGATGAGAAAGGAATATTCTCTTGGCCCTTCTTCCTCTCCTCTGATTTACAGAACTTCAGTCTCAGTGACTGAGGTGTGGAAAGGACCAAATTGCCTGACAGCTTTGTTTTATTTTTGTTTTGTTGTAATATCCTGAAGTCCTGGAAAATTCTATGGAATCATTCTGTATATAGGGCACAGATAAAGACATTTCCAAAGTTTTATTTATTTATTTATTACCCTTATGTGAATGCTTTGCCATAATCACAGTCAATGGGGAAAAAATCACACTGAAAATATTGCAGACACAAATTAATAATACCATGATCATATTTGCTTGTTCTGGCTAAGACTTAGTAAGTGTTAGAAAATCAGGAAAACATTTATGTTGTGACAGTGAACATTTTCAGGCCGAAACCTAGTTAAATGGTGAAAAAGAAATTCTTTGGTAGATAAAAGTGATAGATTTGGTCACAAAACACCAAAGAATTGTAAACAGTGGCCCCTGAAGAGATTTTCCGGTCCTGTTGGGAATCAGTTGTGAATACATTCTTTGCTCTTTGGAGTGCTTGTTTGCCCTGGTCAGTGTCCCATGGTAGGTTTAGTGTTAGTAGGCGCTTCCCCAGGTGTTGGTGGAAGAATAGAGTTTGCAACTGCTTTGGTCTGTGTAGAAAATAGGGTTTAAGACTTGATAACAAGCTTTTTACTTTGTGTGCTTGCATTGTTGAATGACAGATAAATCCTTAACATTTCTCTCTACCTTAGTACTTTAGACTAATTGTATGTGTTAGTCCGTGATGTGAATAAAGGGGGCTATAGTTGGACCAAAACAAAATAAATGAGCCATTGGAATAAAAGCATCAGTGCTTTGATAGTGGTCAGTCCCTCTTTTCCTAGATGTGTTCTGAGCAGTGCAAATGTCTAATTGTACCCTGGCGGAATAGTCTGTGTTGTTATCTTGTAATAGTCAAGAGTAGCTTATGATGCAAATCTGTCTGGAGATGTTTGTGTCACCTCTCAGCTTCTGAAAGCAGAAAGAATTTTCTGCAGCTGTTTGAAAGTTGTGGCCTGTCCTTGAATCCTTTATTAATTACTGTGTGTGAGCCAGAGGGAGCCGCCGAAAGGGGGGACCCCCAGCCTGCAGGGAACTTTCTGGACTCCTGCTCTTTGAATTGATGTAGGCATTTGGGCTGGCTACTTGACCATTCTCACCCTGTGAAACGTCCCACACTTTGAAGCAAATACAATTCACAGCACAGTACACACAAAAACCCTGGCATAAGACAGAGAAGGTTCTTCGTATTTTGTGAGGCGGTTGCTGTAGAAACGGATAACAAAGGGCAGCCTTCCACTTCTGGTATAATTGTGTCGCCCCTTTTCTCTGGACTTGACACCTGTCTGAATAAGAGTGATTAGGGCTGCATAATATCCCTCTCGTGGCTATTGAAAATGTGGTTCACATACAGAACTCTGTATAAGTTAGTGAAATGTTCGTGTTTGTATGTAATCGTTTGCTACTACTACATTTTTTTTGAGGTTTTGTAAAACTGTTACTTTTTTTTCACAATGTGAAACTGAAGGTCAATAAATTATTAGAGATTTTCTCTTCATTGTCTGTGGATGTGTGTCTTTGTCTTTGAGTGTAACAATGATGGGCCTTTCTCATTTATTCAAGAGAATCTTAAGTATTTTCTCCATGTGGTTTCATTGGTTTGTCTTTTTTATTAAAATGAATAATTAGCAAATAAGTTACATTTTTGGCCTTTAGAATAACCCATTAAACAAAGCAAAATGCCTTATTTAGGGGTCATTCCAAACTTGGAATAGAAACAGTCACGTACCATGTTGTAGTAACACAATATATGAGAAAGAATTCAGTCTTGACATTTCTCATTTGGGGTGCAGTCAGATAGTTGTTAGAGAAGGGGTTAGACTTCATTCAGCCTCTCAGGACATCTGCTTTAGAAACCATTGAAAGTAAAAATACAGTGTATTATTTCTCTGTCAGGGCCCACGAAGCACTAGTGTAACCCCCGCAGGCAGACTTGGCTGCTTCCAGGTTGACAGCTGCTCCAGCTGGCTTAGTATAAGGCCAGATGAAGCCTCCTGCCCACCCCCACTCCCCCACCACCAGGGCTTTGTGTCAACTGAGATGCTCCTTTACCATTTGGGTCAGGACCTGATTGTTTCAGAATGCAGAGCAATGTTGGGCATAATTTTTCTGGGGAGAAAATAAGTCCTACCTAATTGGAACTCTAGGAGTCTCTCACAAGTAGACAAAATGCAATTACAGCTGTTGGACTTTGACCAAGATACCAGAGCAGATGCCTCTGGTTTGACTGAAGGATTAGTGGATTCTGTGCCGGGTGAGGCTGGGGAAGAGCCAAACATTTGGGCACAAGTATCTGGGCCCTCAGATTCCAAAAGCACAGTGCCTACAACCCATGGAAACCCTGTGGATGATACCAGGTGTATGACACCAAATGACAGGGAATAACAGATGGGACAGAACTTTGCCTTGATATTAATGTTACTTCTCAGAAGAATTACTTAGAAGAATACTCCTATCGAGATGACTGGGAGCAGAGTTCTTTATCATCTCATGTGGAACGTGGATAGACTCAGTGGGCCAGGGGGTGAGGGGGGTTGGAGAGGTGGCATTTGGACTTGAATGGCCAGCACTACTGCTTGAGTCATACCTCCAAGCTTGTCATTTTGCTGGCTAATTGGAGATGGAATCTTGTTTATTTTTCTTCCTGGGGTGGTTTTGACCCTCCGTCCTCTAATTTCAGCCTCCTGAGAAGCTAGGATTATAAGTGTGAGCCACTGGTACCCAGCTCACACCTGGCTCAGATTCAATTTTTAATCTTGATGTAGACATTCAGATAAGCCCCAACACTTGAGTTTGTATGACCCTTGGCTGTGTGTCATAGCAGTCTGGCTACAATGGTAAAACCATTTGGAAGTTTGCAGTCCAGTGCTGGGCAGTCCCTCCCCAGGCTGAGGCCTGCGGCTTGTCTTTCTACTCAGACATTCTGACCTAGAGCCCTTCTCCTCAGGCTCCCAGGATGACAGCTGTATCTTGCAGCATCATGTTTGCTTTCCATGGTGACAAAGTGGGGACAAAGAAGAAAAGGATACACCAGGAAAAGCCCTCCCCTTTTCTTGGGATAGAAATAATTCCCCCAACGGGCTCACCTTGGAGACTTACACTTATCTCTCATATGTCAGAAATAGGTCACATGACCTCTCAATGGAGATAGAGACCCAGTAGCTCATTGCTACTATATACGACAATGTGATTTTATTAAGTCAGGATAAAAGGAAGAACATTGGATGGGCAACTACATTAATTAGCCAATACTATAGATGGAATTAACTACCTCAATCAGTAGTCAGTGATAATAGTATCATTTATTGAGTATCAGTGATACTCAATAAGCTGGGGCTACTGGGGATGTTGCTAAGAATATGCTTAACAAACATCTTACTGTTTCATGACATTTCTGAGCTTTAGTTCCTTTATCTGTACTAATATTCTCAGTAAAGCAAGACTTAATAACCTAGTAACTAGAAAAGAAAGCACCACGTTCATACTCAGTCCGTAGTAGGTTCTCAGTAATTTTCAGTTGTCATTTTAAAACATTATTGGGACAAATACATAAATATCAATCTGAGGCTGAGCTGGGCACTGGTGGCTTATGCCTGTAATCCTAGCTACTCAGGAGGCTGAGATCTGAGGATCACGGTTCAAAGCCAGCCCAGGCAGGAAACTATGTGAGACTCCTATCTCCAATTAACCACCAGAAAGCCATAAGTGGCAATGTGGCTCAAGTGGTCGAGTGCTAGTCTTGAGCTGAAGAACTTAGTGACTGCAACCAGGCTCGGACCTCCCCCCCCAAAAAAAAAAATCTGAGGCTGAATGTGTTTTTGTTTATGTCTATATTCCCAGCAACTTGGGAGGTAGAGGTAGAAGGATCCGAGTCTGAAGCCTACTGAGGAAAAGTGTGAGACCCTATCTGAAAAATAACTCAAGGGACTGGAAGTGTGGAAGGGTACCTACTTAGCAAGCATGTAACACTTCATTCA